TATAAAAAATGTTGAGAAGCCCAAATTGCCCAAACTAGTTTGGGCTTTGAGAAAACAGTTTGGACCAGAAACCTTATGTAGCACCCCTTTACTACATGTGTAACCCTCTTTATGACAGTGTCAAAATACTTTTGGCTGCATGTATAATCAACAGCATGCAAAGTCAGGTTCAAGCATGTATTGATGTTGAAGGTGCCCATGCCAAATATTGATGTAATAATAAAAGCTGTAGCCATACTATTTGACATTGAGAATATATGTAATTTTGTTTTAATTTATTATGAATTGCACTTTTTATTTATAAAGAATCATGTGCTATTACTTTTACCAGGAACTGTAAGAGGCTTAAATCTGTTGTCAAAAACTTCAAAATTTTATGCACATTAATTATTTTCTTTAGAAATATAAACTTTATATGCAGTATCTCCAGAACATAAGCTACAAGTTGGCATAAATTTTTGTACAATTATTATGTAATTTTATGGATAATTGATGTATTTAGGGTGTCTGAGACTTTTGGTAAGTACTGTATTAATATAATTAATAACAAATTTTTGGAAAATTTTCTAACTGCCCAAACTATCTACTAAACCAAGTTTGTGTATATCTTAAATTTTGGATTTAAAATTTTTTTAATTGATAAAGTATATTGTTTAGTAATGGTGGCTATTGAAAAAAAGGTGCTATGGTCAGCCCAAATATATTATTTTAAAAAAAAATAATTTTGTCCAATTTCAGCTATTATTAGAATTAGTTTCACCCAAATTTAGGTCAATTAATTTCGGCAATTTCAGCCTATTAACTATCACTAAATAATAATGTTGAATACAATTTACAGTTGCACAATAAAATCAAATTAGTGTTCCATGTCACAATCCAAAAAAGGAAACAAAATGGTTGTAAAAGTGGTAGCAACCATCATCAAAAGTTGCAGCTGATATTCTTAAATCAAATCATATATTTGAATAAGTTCAAATCAAATCATTTCAATCAAATTATAAATTCAAATCAGTTTGAATTTCATTGATTTGTTTGGAGCCTTAATCAAGAAGCTACAACCTGGGTTGCTGTTTTGTTGGGAGCCTACTGACCTCGCCTACAGTATTAAGCCCACCTTTACCTCATTTAAAAAATAATAATATCAGTTTATTGAATAAAAAATTTACCAAGATAACAGGAATTCAGATAAATGATTAATTTGTGCAGAACATACCACAATTCAAACCATTTTATGACTTTCCTCTTAATGTCAGGAGATGTCAACCTAGAGTTGCCTTTCTAAACTCCTGGCAATTTTTTGAGTTTGAAGAGTAGCTCTAGGCATAGCTACTCAAACAAAAGTTTTGACCTAGGACAAGAGACTGATTAGGCAAAGCCCTGGTCCCCTACCCAAAATTATATCAGTTAATGTCAAAGAAACAAAGAATTTAAGAAAATGATTTACTTATATAGAACAAACACTATTTTACAACTTTCCTCTTAACACCAGAGAACAAATTCAATTTCAGGGATCCCTACCCCACTCTAAATTGCAAATCCCTCCTGAGCTTGAAACAAGTTACAAGTTCTCATCACTTTGATGGATCTAGATGTTCACACACACCTAACATCACAACTCTTCAAAATGCTGCAACCTCCAGAGTTGCACCTTCTTTGTTACGGAACCATCCACCTTTATCCTAAAGTTAGGATTGTTACAGACAACTTTTTGGCCAACATGCTTATCCTGATAACATCAAGTCAGGTGTTTGAGAAAAGATATACAAGTTTCACAGAAGAACAATGCAGTTTCAATAAACTCCAGACCACTCCCCTCCTTAGAATTTATTGCATTGTTGTATCATCAGGAGGTCAAGGCAGGGTAGCTTTGTGAACATGAAGAAAATGCGAGAATGGCTGTAAAGTATTCAGGGTAGCTATGTACTTCAATGTTTGAAATTTTCTAATAATCAAATGTTACATATTGAAATGTTCTGCAAAGTCATGCTGAATCTCTTTACTCCTTGGTATCTTCTTGTTGTTTTAATATTAATATTAATAATGATTACAAAATACCAATCATTTATTATCAAAATCTTATAATAATTACCCAAGACACAACAAGTTCTCTCTGCATTAGATTTCAATATTTTTTATACAGTGCAGATCATCTATACTCAAAAGTTAATTGATGATCCGCGAATAAATGAGTGAGTCATACATAGTAAAAAATGAGGGAAAATTGACACAAAAATAACTAATTGAGTACCTTTGCATGAAAAGTTGTACTATGTTTTTGTTCCACCACATGATTTTTTTTTATGTCTACAAACAAAACAAATCCCAGAGAACATATTATCAGTTTTTTTTTGTCTTTACTTAAGTAAAAAAAAGTTTACTCTTTAGCACCTGTAGATTTTTAAGAATTTTCATATAAAAATATTTACATGTTCTGTGTAACAGTAGTATTTATTTATTAAAAACATATGATTTATTGTCTTCAAAAATAAGGACAAATAAAGAAAAAAATTTTTTACTTATTAATTAGATGATATATTTTCAACTGCCTGTCTTTTGTGATGTTGAAGAGAAGGATTATTTTCAGCTTCTAATTTGTCAGTTTCAACAAGTCTTTGAAGTTCTTTTAACATATCCTTGGGAGAGTATTTTTTCCTTTTTTTTATAAAAACATGATTTTTAATTGTTCAATTGCATTTAAATCAAACTTCTTACCACCTTTCTTCCCATACTCTTTAGAGCAAATCCAGGTTCCAATTTTTCATCCAAGAGGTTTTTCAAATTCATATTATTTAGCAACAGAGAATTATTGTCTGAAACAGGATAACTGTATAATTTATTTCCAGTGAAATCCAACTTTTTCTCTTGAAGCTTCAACCTTACTTCAGGAACAAACAATTTTTGAATTAATGGATCAACTTCTGAAGGAACAAATATTTTCCATTCTGATTGAGGTGTTGTTTGATTAATGACTGTAACATTTGGTTGATTAATATTATTATTTTTCAGAAGTTTTTTGTCACCAGATGACCACATGAAAGTAAAATAATTGGAAATTCCTTTAATGGTACCAACTGGCACTTTTTTACTATGATCTGGGATTATTAGTTGAGTTAGACATTTTAAGATGACAATTTATTAATATTATTTAAAAGATTTTTTTTTTAATTATAATTTATGAAAGGCCTTTCAAAGTAAATCAAATATTTTATCTATTTATATAAAAATCCAAACAAAGTTCAAAACTTGCATCAAAGTTTAAACTTGTGTCAAAATTAAACTTGTGTCAAAGTGTCAAAATTCAAAACTTGCATAAGTTCAAAATTTGTATAAAAATTCAAGACTTATATCAAAGTTAAAATTTGTTCAAAGTTCAAAACATGTATAAAGATTTAAAACTTGTGTCAAAATTTAAATATTTGAAACTTGCAATGGTTTTTCTTTTATTCTAAAAATGAGCACCTGTAGATTTTTTAAATTTCCCTCATTTTTTAATAGTAAATTGATCAACAATTCTCTCATTGTCAAATTAAATTTTATCAATGAATTTAACCATTTGTCATAACTCAAATGCGACTCATAATTAATGTTGCCATCTTCTGCCTGATCTTCCCTAGATATTAAATAAATTTTAAGTAATGTCATTTTTTATAAATAGGAGGAAGATAATTTACAACAGAAGAATACTTACCATCTTAGATGGACCTTTTCATCTACATCTTGGATACAGCAGAACATTATTTTATCAATTACATCATGTAAAAATGTGGCTTCAGAAATGGTGTCATCACCATCAGTTCTATGATCATGTTGTTTCTTCCTCCAGATTTTGATACTTTAGAAGAATCAATATTTGTAATATTCATATTAATATATATTAATCTTCGTTAATGTAAACACAGCATAATGCCTAAATTTTTTAATTAAAACTCAAACATACAATAGTTTATGAAGTTCTCCTAACAAAGATGTTTGTAACATCTCACTTTTAGATAGTGTGTTTCGAAATAAATAAAATAAAATTTTTGCGCACCTTGATAAATTTATCTTTGGTTCATAACAAGATCTTGCAGTTTACGGGATTAACAGGATTATTTTTAACCAAAAAAAAAAGTTTCCAACGTGTTATTATGACCAGGTCACACAATATAAAAAAGATCGCAATCGATTTTGTACTATAAAATAATATTTTTTTATTTTGAGTTATGAAACAAAAAGAATATCGAAAAAAAAAGGGTTTGCTCTTGGGGATGTAGAGATGAGTGAGATTTTTTCATATGTAACTTATTAAAAATAACAACAAAAATGAGGGTATAATTATTTTTAAACGGAGTTTTTATATTATTTAGTCACATCAAATTATTGATTGAACTTTTATTCCAAAATTATTTCGAAACTCCGAAACTGTTTTTAAAATTCCAAACTATATTAAAACATCGAAATCATCTCAAATTTCCAAAAACAAAATGTGTAATTAGATCTTTTTCAAAAATGAAACCGAAAATAAAAATTTGTCACGTGATGGAATGTGAAGGATGTTTTTGCGATTCATAGACGGATTGTCAATTAAGTATTTAGTCACACTGGTGAATGAATACCTTTGTGAAAAATTAAATATATCCTTAAAGAAATTGTAATTAATAAGTTTATTGTGTCCATTGCTGTCTGATGATGGAGCGAATGTTAAAAAAAAAAATACTAAATATTTGATATGTTGCATTCAGCACATAATTTTCCCCCCAAAAAAAATGATTAAATATTGTAAAAAATCACACCGTCCTAGAGAACTACTCGATCAATTGATTAAAGAAAAGGATATTGAAGGAAGTGGCTTAAAACTTTGATCAAGACAAGATGAATTAGTATATATGGACATTTAGCATCAGTTTTACAATTGAAATCTTACCTAGAAGAAATTATAGAGAACATAAATAAAACTTTATACATGGATTTCTAATAAACTCTATTATCTCCACAGATCCCATGCCATATGTGATGACTTTTAGAGGTATCGAGGTCGATTTAAGGGGTATTTGACAAGAAGTGGTGTCTATAGAGTAGATTGACGTTAAATATCATTCAAAATTGACCTCACTACCACTTCTGATGGAGAGTTTTTTTACTACATAAATTTATTGCATAAATAGCAAAAAATAATTATTTCAAATTAATTAATTTAAAGAATTGAATGGATTAGAATGGAATCCAACTTGGTCAAATTGTGATTGGTGTATTACTTTTCAACATCTGAATAAATAAATTCATTTTTAAAATATTGTGAGCTATTATAAATACACGATAAATTTCTTTTAAGTAATCATCAGTGATAATTTTCTTGTCATCATGATTACAACAACAAAAAAGAACTCATGATCATCACTGGAAATTTGGGTCAACTTTTCTTGTTATATATAAATAAATCAATTTCTTAAATTCTTAAGATTTTCTGCAGAGATCGTAAATCAATTTGAGAGATTTTAATTTGAAAACTCCCAATATTTAAAAAAATGTCATTATTAACACAT